GACGACGTCCTGGACAAATTTTGAAGTTGAAATAAAAAAAAGGAAAAAAGCAGCAAAATACTGATAAGACTGTCATTGACACTGTCGTTTGGTCACTGATGCACTGACGTTGTTTACGTTAAATTATCGCTTCCAAATTCTAGAAAATAGATAACTTATTCACTTCTGTAGTGAACTGCGTGTGAATTGATAAAACTTGCATGATTAAAATCCTGGTAGGTTTCCAACTAATACTGAAATATTTAATTTCTATTGTTATCTCTGCGACATAAGCTTATTGGCGTAAAATCAATGGGTATATAATATGCTTTGTATAGCACCACGAAGTGCTTAAAAATCGAGACAGTCAAATAACCAGTGTTGTGTTTATATCAATTTACTTCAATTAAACAAAGGTTTAATTCTGTCTTTGATTAAATAAACTAACTATTACTACGTGCTTACTTTTGTTGTACAATCAGGCTGTTGTACACATTCAATATGATTAAAATGTTGATTCTAAATTTTACTTCATTACGCTCAGCGTACATATACGTAGAACCTGACCCATCCACTAAGGGACAAGGTTTTGGTGAACATTTGCATCAGCCAATAGAATGACCGCTTACAGAATCTTTGACGAAATATCTTGCATAATCTTATTAATGTATAAAGTCATTTCGTGACCATATGTCGTCAAAAGCTAGAGCATTATGTACCTGTCGTTCTGATTAAAGTGCTTATCACCTTTCTCACTCCTATCCAGAAAGTGACAGTGCGAGAATTAGGAAATTAATTTCAATCAGCTTCACCTGAATGTTGTTACGAGACAGGAAAAGAGTTACAGTGTGTTCACGCATGCTGCAATTTCCAAACTTGAGTTTGATTTCTGCAAATTATCCTCACTAACCAGAACGTTAACACAATTTAAATGCGTGTCTTTTTGAAGTCATTGCATTTCGTTTCTGAAGCTTTGAGACCGTACTTCAGTTTATACAAACAACAATAATTGCATAAGGTATATAACCTATAAACACAGTATCTAAAGGCCATTTCTAAACCTTTTCATCAATTTATTGGTTCAAAAGTTCATAAAAAGTGTTCGAATGTTGCACAGCATAGAGGACAAAAAATATTATCAACGATCTTCATTTAATGTTTTTTTTTTTTTGTGTGGATTAGCTGTTATTCCAATTGATAGACGCGGATATAAAAGTACATTGTAGTTATCGTTTTCTTCAACGGTATTTTTTCTAGCAAAAGGTTTCATCAATCTTTCAGGCTCGTAATGAGTTTCTTATAATCTAATCCGTTGGCTCCCTCGTGCTGTACCATGCAGGTGGAACAATTGAATCTGGTATATTTTTTGACATCGGCTAAAGTCTTAACACGTTCTCAGAAATTGCTATTGTATATTCAGAAATTCTTTCATACACCAGCACTTTGATATTGCAAACTTTCCTTGGCCTATACAAAATTCTGATTAATTGTAGCTGAACCCGTATCGCTTTGCTACAAAGCTTGATGTAGTGACATTGACGTGTATTCCGACCATTGAACTCGGTGAAGACCAGGACCAAAAGAAAGATTTACATTGAAAACCCTGACAAGGCACACGGAGAACTTGATCAGGTGTCTCGGAAGAATGACACAATGTTCATTTAAACATAAAGAAGATTAATCACATCTAGATAATATCAATGTTAAATGCATTTTAATTTTTATTCAGTATTATTCCAAGGGATGCATGTCATTATAGCTGTGGCGTATTGTGTTTGATATGTATTATGAATATCAATTTTCTTAGAACACGTTATCAGACTTTAAAGAAAGAGGTGTTCATTTCGGCGTAAGAATATGATGGACGCATTCGTTCGGTGGATAGATGTTTATGATAGATGACAAAAGCTAAAAATGTCTACACAAGTGCTCATTGTACATTTCACTCGCTTTTTTATAACCAAAGTTCTGACGTTCATCTGATACAGTAAACATAAACAATAAACTACTCTGTATCTTATTGATGTTTCGTCCTTTTAGGGTTCTTCAGTTATGGATTGTAAGGGCCACAATTTGAAAGCTTCAGAATCGACCAGGGAAAATTTAAATCGATCGAAACGGGATACAAAATCTAGAAGGCGCAGTGGTAATAGACCAATAATTCATTATTTCACAATATGATGTTACGAAAAGAACGCCATGTACATTGTACACATCTAACTGTTTTTATTGTATTAAATGTGGCATGCATCCTGCAACTCAGGTAGCGTTGTGATAACTAAACCAAATTGTATCTAGCTGACACGATCTGCATTAATTTTGTATTCTTTAACAGTGGTAATATTGAGTAATTGACGCAGCAAGTCTTGAGATTGACTGTATGTACATGTGTATATTCTGAAGTCACTATTTGAATAATTTGGTGGTCGGATGACACAACGATAACTTATTCGCCTTTCGTTTAGGCGACCTGGGTTCGATTCCTACCCTGCCATATGTGTTTGTTCGCGTAATCTAGTTTCCATTCACAATATACCCTTCGCGCATTTCCATCCTGGCCAACAAGAGTTAGTGATATACGTTTAAAGCTTACTCCGCAATTGTTGTTAAATAAATAGCATCTATATTTTATTCGATTGATTTAAAATGTGGTATGTAGGTTACATCAAACCTCGTTAGCTAAACATTCACAAGCAGAGTCCACCGCCAAAAGTCAGAACTATTCAGGCTAACGGTATATTTGTGAATGTGTTTCTTGTTAAAATGTCGGATTTGATACGCCACATATTGGTAGATAGTGTAACTGATATTACAATCTCGGTGCAATGACATGCAAGTGTTTGGAGAATATTGGCAAGTCAGGGTTACCTTCAGTAAATCACGACGAATAATTATTACAAATGGCTGATATTGACAACAAATTTTGAAGGTTTTGGAAAATTACGAGGAAAATAACAAATGCTGTTATAAATGTGTATACTTAATCATCTTTATTGACGATATCGGACATGCAAACCATTGTCAATTCTATCCAGTAAAATTATATTCGTAAACGAAAATCATGTTTTTAACAACAAAACCACTAGGCGACTTTTTTAACATAAAATAAATGATAACCATCAAAAACCGTTTGTTTGACATAAATGATAGCTGACCCTGTGAATGTGGTAGATCGTGTTCTCTTACATACAATATATAAACCGACTTCATGATCTTTTACAAAACAAAATGTCTTCAATTCACACTATGGTTTTCTTTGATCGATTTTCTTGGCTATAAACTGAGCGCGTTTCTCATCTAAATTATTTTTATATGTTTGTAGTGACCTGATGTACTAACTAATTGTACAGATTTATTCAAATGATTGAAGTACGACTATTTGCAGAATCATGAGTAATAGAATTGTATCAATGATATACGATAGTAAAGTCTATGTTACCCTCGTCAATCACTTAATGAAAATAAGGCATCTAAATCGGCGCAATAAAGGTGAGACAGTGATTTCCACATTGACGTTCATACAAACATTGTTTTTGTTTAGCCTAGATTGTACATCACCTCTCAGTGACCCTCTTGTCAACGTTACACACGCATGATATATAACTCATTATTACTATCAGGTAGATTGATCAAAACTGATAACCAATATCTTTACTTATTTTTGTAGTGTAACACGAAATTTAAGTTCATAGATTTGATTAATTGAATATCATGAAAATTTGTGGGCAACATTGAAATGTTTATCTCAATAATTCTATCGAGACAAATCCTAGCCTATCTACTGCTTCTTCACAATAACAGAAGAGAAATGATTTTTCGAGAAAACTTTTACACATTGGAAAAAGGATCTGTCTTCATGAAGTTCACTGTAATGAATCAACCTTGTGACTTTAGAAATACAAACCTAATGACGTCTGGCCTCCGTATTTTCTTTCGTGCCTTGGTCTTATTTGACGTTTTTTAGTTTAATACTATTATTTCCTTTATCTTTTAATATTCCAATAGATTGGTATAGTTGATGGGGTTTAAGAAAGTTGTTTGTGTGTTTGGTAACTTCAAAACGAATAAAAAAAGTGCTGTTAGCATTGTTTTATAATAGATTTGCAATATCTACGTAACTTATCATTGTGTGACGGGTTGTATGTTACATAATTACATGACCAGCAATCAAGCGCACAAGAATATTTTTGAGCTTACCATTAAAATGTTGAAGTTATTCAAAATCATATTACGAGTTCCGATTGCGATGAATTGCTGTGTAATTGTTTAATTTTGCGGGGCTATTATTACAGGACTGTTCCAGTTTGGGCTGTTTCCAGATGATGAAAATTTGCACAAGTCGTTTTTGAATCATAGTTATCGGAAGTTGGATACATAATTCTGCACTATTTAAGATAACCGTAAATATTGCGAAATTAAGCCCTCCAAAACTTACCAGCTTTACAAAGCGCATTTTTTTAAATTTTGATTTATTGTCCAACTTGATATCCTAAAAACATAATAAACATTCAAGAGGAAAACAAAAAAGAATTTGATAAAAAAAAAAGTGCTATTAAAAGATTCTGGGAAGGTCATGCGCTGGTTCTGACACTTTTTGTTAAGTTTTAGAACCGGTCGTAATTACTTCTTTCCTTCGTAAATAACAATGTGGGTGTGGTAAGTGCTATGGTCCGGACATACTATATTTAGACGTGAACATTGTTCTCTGATAGAGCTTAACGATTAAAGGAAATTGAACAAGGGCGAATCAAAATCGTTTTACACCCTAGTGAGAATCTGTCGTCTATCAAGATTTAATATGAGAAGAAACTGTAGGATATTTCTAAATCTCAATAAACACAAACAATGTAACATATAGTTTACATGAGTGGATTCTGTTGACGTAAATTAATAACAGAAAGAACATGGTATAATTCTACATTTCCCTTTTTCCTTTTGGTAGCGACCATCTCTTCCTGTCGAAATTACCAGATCCTATAGTCATTATGACAAATTGGTCTGCAGAAAGTGAAGTGGTTACGATGGCAATTACAGAAAATGCGACGGATTTGGCTCCAAACAGACCAGAAACATACTCTGACCACAAGGTAAAATATTGTTAAATCATTAATTTTCGTGTTTTTGTTTTAATTGAAGGATAACATTTAAGATTGGTTATTGTGCATTGTATATCAGAGGGTAGTATATGCATGATTTGTCCATCCAATCAAAGGCTAATAAAAATGCATGATAACATATTGGCATATTGATATATATTGTCCTCTGTGTGGAAGATAATGATTAACGATACTTCATTGATGGTACGCAATGGATGGTTTTACCTCAATAAATGTTTACATATAATGATTTATTCATACAACTACACAAAGTAAAACAGGCTGATATTTAGAAATTATAAATGAGATTGAGTACGCTGTGTAAGCAGTTGACTTGATGTGTAATTGCAGGCATATGTTGTGAGGTTTTTCTACTTCATTTAGTGTCTACAAGTTATCGAATGAAGACTTTGTCTAAACATCTTACCAAAGAAAAGGTTGCTTATGCTTTATACAATCCGAATTTGTGAATACTTGTTATTATTTAATCAGCAATACAGGCCGCATGTTTGCTTATGAGAAGTTTTTGAGATTAAGAACAAAGGAACTAGTATTGAAACTGGTCTATAACATTATGTTTGATATTATTCTTGAAAATATGCTCTTTGTCATTTTCATATTTTGATAATATAATTTTAATTGAAATCAGCATAGGGAGTACAGAACATGGATGTGTATGTATACCATTTGCTGTAGCAATTTCCAAAGAGAAACACGCCCAATGTACAACGGTCTCAATTATTATATCTTTGCAGCTCATATGGAATATAGCTACAGCTATCATTTGTGCTGAGTTTGTATGTGCGTTCGTCCTCAATGTTATTGTCATCGGCCTGTTGAAGAGGAACAAGAAAAGAAACCGGATGTCATTCTTCGTTCTTCATTTAGCCATTTCCGGTAGGAGTATATTTATCATTTTCACATTACATGTATTGCTTGTTAAAGAATTATTTCGCTCCATATTAACAAAAAATTGACGCTGTTTGATTTGAAAACCATATGTTGATATAGATATACGACAGAAAACAAAATTGTAATTATGTCAATAATCATTACAGAATGGTTAAGAATGTTGAGAGTTACAATGAACAAAAAATTGCCCTGATCGCTAAACCAATACCAGATTAGTGAAGCGACAAGGAACATCGTATTCCTCAAAGAATGTCAATGACCACGAAAAGTTTACAATTCTCTGTCAAGATTTATTTGAAGCCATGTTCGTCAGCAATCGACTTATTTCTCCATATTCCACATCATCAATCCATCAACTTTCATTTTTTGTTTATCCCAACACTTCCAGCAGATACCATTTCCTAATTAATAGGAATAATTATTTGCATCCTGTGCATCACTCAGATTGTTGTCGACGTTGGCAATCTCAGTATGCATTATTTTTATTCCGATAAACTTCTGAATGATATAGTTATTACTCGTTTAACAAGATTGATCTCGTTGTGAGCTCTACACTGAATTTCTCTTCTGATTATGGTTTTTAAAACTAAATATGAAATGCCAACGTTTTCGCCATTTATTATCTTAGATATTTGATGACAAATGATGGCTGATTAATATTTTTGCCAATACATTAATAATGTACAGTAACAAAAAAGCAAGGTTTTCTATTACTAATTTACTATTCTTAATTCCGCTGATATTAAAATGTTTAATCATCAAAAATACAAAGACGAAAAATGCCTAGAAACATTGAATTGGAAAGAAAATTGCCGCATCAGTAGAAAAAAACACAAAAGTCAATATCGATTGCCATCGTGATAACAACGAGCAAAACAGAGCTCCCGGGAACCCGTTTTATGTTTAGCTTGTGGCACTGTTCATCATGCAATCCTCCTGGGGAATAAGGAGCGAGCGTTAATAGTAGCAACACACATACCTTTTAATCATAGTGTCAACTCAAATCTCACAGCCAGAGATCAGATTAAGATGACTGCTTGACATTCCGTTATGCAGATATTAGATTGTTGGGTAGAACATTACGGAAAATCCAATCAATTAGTTATATTAATGACACGCTTATTGAAACAATTAACACATTTCGTATTTTTGACCATATTGAACTATATCAACTAAAAGACTTTGGCATGCAAATTTTATAGGCGATACAGTGGTAAATATTTCTATAGTGTATAGGGGATATTTTTATGAGAACATCGAATCGCAATCCAACGTTATGTTCTATTTATGTACTCTTGATGCCTTCGCAAACATTTGTGAAAACGCGACGAAATCTTTATTTGGCAATATCCTTACTCGATATTTCTTTCTTTGTTGGTGCTACAAAGGTTCTATTGGCAAGAGCCATTACGGCACGATGGGAAACTTCATCCGTCAACCTTGTCATAACAAAAAGTAATTGATTTGAAATTGTATTGCATTCATAGCATTTACTGTAGGTATGCGTTTCTGTGGCTCCATAGCGATGTGGCAAACTTTGTCATAGCAAAACGTTATATAATTGATATGAAATAATATTACATTGATAGCATCTAAGGTAGGTATACGTTTCTATGGCTCCGTAGCGATGTGCCAAACTGAAAATAAATGTGTTATGACGTTTTATGACACTGTCAAGTATTGTTAAACATTGACTTCAGGTAAATTTTATGTCATTGTGACCAGTTTAAGCAATATGTAAACATATGTAACAGGATTGGGTAGAAGTTTGGTAATTGATTTAATCGTAACGGCGGTTAAAGACTCGATATCGAGGAGGTTCCTTTGATTTCCGTTATTTTTTTCAAATGTATGCGTAGCTTTTTCAAAATATTCAGAGATAATGTGTGACAATATCGTGGTTGAGATCCTTGTGCAATTTACTCATTTCAAATATACATTTTTACAACGTATCTTAAAAGTCATTCTTTCTCAACAATTGTACAAAAGACAAAGAAAGGAATATTACGTCAAGTAAAATTCATGTTTATATTTATCAAATCTGTAGTAGGTAAAGTCTGTTCCGTTTTAGATATTATTCAGAATAATATATAATTACAATGCAGCATTGATTAGACAGCAAACATTACAAAATGACTTAATAGCTGCATGATATAATATAAATTAATATTATTCCACTACTAATTTCTACGGAAAGACGCTATTCGACTGTTTAATTTGTACTTCACAGTCGATCAATATCAATTTTTTCTTCATTTGGATTCCATTCGTTATGTAGCAGGCTTCTGGCTATCCAGGGTATTCTCAACGGAACACAGTTGAATATATGGAATTACTATTGTCCTGTAGGAATCAGATAGTTTGGATCAATTTTATCTATTTTCTCCCATCACGTGTTATCATGACCACTGTCACGTCCAGTTTGTACTTTCTAACCTTCATATCATTATTAGCTGACAGTTGTTGGAGAGTTTCGCTGTGGTGGTATTTGTCATACTGAAACATCAGACAATCATGGTGTCGTATTCCCTCATTCTACGTCTGAATTTTATCAATTAAAAAACTATTCCGAATATGAGTTGTGTGGGTAACTATGCATTTCTGTCAATAATGACAGTCTTTTGGCGGGTTGTAATTTCCCCTATATTTCACTATTTAACGTTCTTAGCATCACATGCAGCATATACTCTTCATACATCTTATACAAAAAAACATCAGGAATATCCCAACATGGCAACATAATCATAACTCAAACTCAAATTCCATAAAACTAGGGCAGAATATGAACAAAAGAAAGATTCACACAAAGACTCCTGGAAATGTACAAGGAGAATAAGACCAGGTGTTCCCAAAGAGTAAGCGTCTGCTGCTTCGTCAACGTCACTCGCCAAGTAAGCCTTGGTCAATCAAAGTATGAACTGTCACGTTCTCAAATGAGAACAAGGTATACAACAACGGAACTAAGAGGCAAACTAACGAGCAGCATCAAGTCGCATAATAGATTATATTACGAAGATTTACCTTGTAAACAAAATAAAATAATAAATCTTCACCTCTCTGTATATTTCATGAAAAACAAATGATATTGATGTGTGAAAATACCATTGCGCTTGTTCGTCGAATGTGGCAATGTGCTATGCTTTGAGTGCGTTAAATCCAATACGTTTACAGCAGTATACTGTTCAGAAATAGCAAGTCAGTCATATAATTTATATCAATAATGTTATTTCTAAAGAATTATCTACGAAGATATGCATTTGTTTTTTCTTTATTCTTATTTCCATTTCTTAATTTGTTTTATAATACATATAATTGGTTTTTGATTTATATTGCATTGACTATATTTTATATCATTTAGAATGTACTTTTACCGACTGGAGACCTCGTTTAGGTCTATAAAATCTATATAAGCACGTACTGATTAGATGAAACTTTAAAAAATAGCACTTTACGAGTTCAGATAGGAAATCTTTGTCTTGGCGTGTATGCCAATCAGACGGCTCTGCAGATAGAAGGAAATTGATTAGGTGTCCCAAACTCTATAGAGGATGTGTTAAAAATAATGATAACAGATCTGTTTGCAACGGTATTGAACAATGGGCTTTTTCGCAAATCAGCGTTTCTGTTTTTATCAAAGATTCTTATTCATAAATGTTGGCTAATTGATAAAGCTTCTTTACTTAATCGATTGCTTGAAACGATCTATTCTATTAAGATAATTGTAATACGATTTCCTGGAACCTCCTTGTAAATATTTCTGTTGTTTCTATTTTGCCCTCATTTATGGACGTTTGGATTACGATTATGTTGACATGTTGGTAATTTCTTTCTTTTTTTTTTGTTTGTTTGTTTGTTTTTGTTTATTATGATACCTTTAATCAGAGTCATTCGATAGTGAAATCGCACCCGAATGACCTCAGTGTAAGACGAGAGCGATATCTGATACTTAAGCTTGTAAACTGTTATATTTGTTTCTTTCGGTATCCACAGGTAACTATATTGGTAATAGTTTGATACTAACAACATTGTATTAATACCACAACCACGTAATGAGAAAAATGTTCAGTTTCATGATCAATGGACAAATATAGAGGATATTTTAATGGTTTCTCGTTTAATCTATACTAGCGGAAAAAGTAACTGTCCATGGATACAATATGCTATTACTTGGGGAGTTATATAAGAAATCGCCAAACAAATTTCAACAGGGTTTTATCTTACCTTCATTTAACACCAGAGATGACACCCCACACCATGACACCGCTGAGTGGACATCATTGAATCACACAACTGTCATTGAAACGTTAACCAACACGACGGGACACTCCAGAACGACCGTCGCTGCTGTCGAGATATAACCTGGACTCATTTCTTGAAAGAACATGTGCCCAGTCCTGCCGTGTAGTGTATGTGTCATATACACACGGCTAAACGTGCTACACGATGACGTTGCTGGATAACAAGACATATGACTGGATGTCATGGACGTATACCACGTTCAAGCAATTGATTACTTACCGTTCGTGGATTAAATCTTCTTAGGCCAGGAATACTTCCAGCCGTCAAAGGAGGAGTTCTAAGTCATTCACGGAGAAGAACGACCCGGATATACGTATCCTGGCGATTAGACGTTACGCGTGGACGTCCCGTACGAGGTCGTTTCTGGTGGTCCCAAACTGTTTTCACAAGGCGTCACAGTATTTCGGTACACACCAAATTGTCTAGTAACGTCAGCATGGCGTACACCAGCTTCGATCATATCCAAAACTGTACTGTTTTTGTGTGTTACATGTATTTACACACTGCTTTCACTCAGGTTTAGGTTACAAACGTGTTTGCGATGGACTACTGGAAAAATGACAAATTACATATTAAAATTGATTTAATAACAAACATAAAGTTAAAAAATTGAAAAGAATTTAGTGACGCAAAATTTCGTGGAAATGACATGTTACTAGCCGATTTCAATAGAAACTGTGCATACA